CAGCCCTAAGACTGACCGTTTCGCTCGCCGTGCATTACACTCAGTTGCAGCTTCCGTACGTCCGACTTCAGCAACAACCCTAAATAGTTCGAAATCTGTTTTCAACTCCCAAAACCCTGTTAACTTTTGCCCCTTTAATGTTTGCACACTGGAGCAAATGGGACAACAGGTGGCCCTTGCCCTTACATTCGATTTCCTCTGCATTGATCTGTGCTGGTTTCGAGAAACAAGTATACAGGACGCGAGTACTGGGAATGAACTGACTGCCCCATCGCTCTCTTCCAGGCTCCAGCTGCGTACCCGTAGTGATGCAGGAGCCGTTGCAGCCAGATATGCTGGGGGGGATGTATTGTATTCAGCTGTTATGCACCTGAACGAGCGGGACAGTTGATTGGATACCCGTTGGTCGTCGCTGTTCGTATAGCTACGTCTGTTAAAGAGTCTAGGAAGAGTGAGGTCCATCACACTGTCTATTGTGTCTGCTTACGCCCCATCGGGTGGTAGGTCTGAGTTCGCCAAAGATCATTTCTATGATGATTCAGGTGTTTTACAAGGGACTTAGAGTTCGGATATCGTGTTTGCGGGCGACATGAATGCTTAGGCAGATAGACTAAGCGCTAACGAGGCCTAATTGGGTGGTCATCTTTGGTTGGACACCAGACGCAATGACAACGGAGATTGCCTGCTCCACATGTGTATCGATCACAGATGGTTTCATTGTAGTACCAATTTCCGGAACAGCGGAAATCCCTTGACAAAGTGGTTCCCGCCAGTGAACCACCCCAGAATCCAAGTAGACTACATTGCCGTCATTTATCTGTGGCGAGGGTCGATCACCGCCTACCGCTCCTTCTGGAACACCAACATAGATCCCGACCACGCACTGTTTGCTGCTGCTTCGCATTTCGCTTTTCAGGTCTACGCAAAACGTCCACACCTCGCTTAGCCTCTGAGAAGCTAGTGGACCCAGAAATCGAATGAGCCTATCAGAACCAGCTCCTCGAACCCCTGCCGGATGACCCGATGTTGGATATAAACGGCCACTGGAGAGATATCCAAAGCGATACTCAAAGACGCAACTTCTGTTTGTGACACAACCCAGCCAACCTCACAGAAACATTGTACCTTTGTATTTGCTGAAGGCCTAGCGGCAGATTCCCCTGGCTGCAACCACAACTACCCGTTGCATCATCCGCCACCAGGTGAAACTGGGTGTCCGTGCAGACCGAGAAACTTGGTGGATCCGAAAGGCCGAAGAAATGGAAGATGCTAACAGTGTTGGAAACATCCACAATCTGTTCTACCTGTTGTCCCATTTGCTCCAGTATGCAAACATTAAAGGGGCATAAGTTAACAGGGCTTTGGGAGTTGAAAACAGACTTCGAACTATTTAGGGTTGTTACTGAAGTCGGCCTACGGAAGCTGCAACTGAGTGTAATGCCCGGTGAGCGAAACGGTCAGTCTTAGGGCTGGGACCTGCGGAGAAAGTATTCAAATTTGGGTGGGGGAGGGTGGAAGAAGGAAGGTGTGAAACTGTGAGAAGGGAGGCGTCAGCAGTAGCGTGCTTTCGCTTACCCTGCTGTATGCAGCAGGTAAAGCGGCCCAGCTGGTGGCATCACGCGGCTGCCGATGTAACCTCTCAACTTCCTATGTCTAGGCTTGGACAACCTGGCAGTATTCCAGCCCTTGTGCTTCATTCTGGTAGCATGGCAGCTAGGCACCAGAAGGGTATTGCAGCTGAACGGTTTTGGTGCAGTACACCTTCCAGGATGGGTCCTCGTTGCCCGCGTTCACTTAGCTGAAGACATTGGAAGAAATAGCGGCTGGTCGATGTCAGTGGCGTTCGTGCTGTAAGTTTCTTCCCAGATTGGAGGTGTAGGCACCTCAGAATGCTTGACAGGACAGCACAAGTCACCCTCCTTCACCCACTCCTCTCTTCCCACTCTTAAGGCTTTTAATATAATTAAATAGACTTTATGTTTGCACGGCAATGAAGCACCGGTGTCAACACTAATGTTTCTGTTTCCGATGTAGATGGAGATGAGGATGGTGACATCGGGATGGACGAACTTATCCACCATATCGATTAGTTCAGCTGCAAATACTAGGTTTGGTTTTGACCCACTCAGTCATAAGTTGCCGTATACAAGAACGGCCATAGCGTTAGTGTGCTCAGCGTCTGTGACTGATCGCTCCAGAAGTATTTCGATCCCCGAGGTTTCGGAGGAATGTATTTGAAGAGGTAGGGTGATGATGGGCTGAAACCACCGGATCTGGTGAAATCAGGAGATAGTTCGCCATAAATCTGAAGAAGTCCGTCGTAACGGGTATGCGAAGCCCTGATGGAATATAAACCAGGGATGGTGTGGTAATGCGATGATGCTGATGGTAGTGATTGGAAGTGTGCTGAGATACGATCATTGTTTCTGAAATTGGATAGGATAATGATCAGGGTTGTTAACTGTGGCCTTTGGATCGAAATCCCAGTCCAGAAAGCCGTTGCACCTGTTCGAGGACCTAGTCGTCAACCTGGAGAGCGGGAAAATTTTATTGCATCTTTATCTATTGACTAAACCCCGTGGGCAGTGCAATGGCACTACATAGGAGGGCATTTTTCTTGTTCTATTTGGAACTATACAGACCACTTTAGTGCAATTTGGTATAGTTGCCGCTTCATGCTTCTTTATAATTTGCAGTGCGTTGGGTTGAACCGTCCTGCTTAGCAATGCTTCAATGATGTTCACCGGTGATGACCGAACGCATCGTTGAATCGTCACCTCTAAGTACAATGGGAGCCACAAGCACCACTATGCTTCAGTATTTCTATTTATCGCTTCATGGAAAACCTATAAAAAATTTTCTTTCTTACTTACCCTCATGCCTTCATGTTGCAGCTTTGAGTTACGTGTTTTCTGGAAATTCGTATCTCGTTGTCTGCAACCGTCCTTAGTGCGGTTTAAGTCGAGTTTCCATTTTCGCCTTACCCCATTTGCACCGTAAGTCGAAATGTATCCTTCAATATCTTACTGTGTCGGATGTTTAGTCACTGCACATAGTTGTAGCTTCTAAGCGGCGTAAAAATTTTCTCTTTTCTCATTTTTAGAATTCGGTACGATGATGGCATCCGACGACGCTGTTGAAAATCCATTCAACGACCCGGTGGAAAGATTGACCACAGTAATGCCAATAAATCTAATTAGCTTTCATTTCTTTCAGCAAATTCCATCTGAGGCAACGGCTTCAGTGAATAGCCGTATTCAAACCGGTGCGCTTGGTGACTACAATCCATTTGAACGAGATACTAGCACACTCACTGGAACCATCGCATCAAACCCTGACTTCCCGCCCCCATACTCCTCTTTGGAAGCTCAAAGACTCACTACTACCGAACTTGAACGCCGACAAAAGGAACTAGATGCAAAGGCTGCCGAACTTGCGCGACGTGAGGCAGAGCAGAATCGGTTGGCGGAACAAGTTCGTCAGGGTAGTCAAGGTGCAGTTATTTTTAGGCTATCTTCTATTGGAAAAGTCATCTTTTGATGACTAGAAACTCGTTCGTCTTCTGTCAGTGTCTATTTTTTACCTAACTGAAAAAATACACCTTCCACTGGAAACCGCACATGGCAAGCGGATACGAACCTCAAAGTACATTGAAATGCAACAGTAATTCACCATTTCTTCCAAAGAAACATTCAGCGTGGAAGTAACTGCGGTCTGACGAAAATCGGCGCAAATCGAATTCACTAAGGGACAATACAGACAAACCGATTTCAATAGTTCTGAGTGAATACCTGATTCCAATAAATGCCCCTACTTAACGGGGGTCAACTTTCACGTTTTATGAGTGTAGTCGCGCTATAGGCCGTAAAATGTGTAAATTCAAACTTTCACTACCTTTTTCACTTGATCCTCATGACTCAAATTCAGTTGCTCTTGGATATCTGGGACAGTATCCTGCTGGTTAAAATCAAGCTGTTTAACTAGTCTTGTTTCTCCTAATTTTCTGTTTTACACATCTGCTTGTCTGTTTATCAGGACCGATCAAGAACTGGCCCCCGCTGCCTTCTTTCTTCCCATGTGGACCCTGTTTCTATCAAGATATTGATCTGGAGATCAATTCCGAGTACCGAAGGATTGTCAGATTTGGCTACTATTTATGGGTCGCTTACGCGGGGTTACTATTAATCAACTTCTTCGGGGCTTTACTGTACTTTGCTGGAACCGGTCGTAGTGATGGCGGGTCATTGTTTGGTGTGTCGATTATCGTTTGCATCTTCTGCATACCCGCCTCCTTCATTTGTTGGTTTCGCCCACTTTATAAAGCGTTCAGGTAGGTTGTATTACGTTACTAGTATGAATAGTACTTTTTAGTCTTCTTGTTCCTACCATTCTGCCATAGTGATCTCAGTTTCTTGCGGCAGATGGTTGGGATCATCGCGCCGGCAAATGGTTGTATTCTCGGCTTATCGTGAAAGGCACAATCAACCCTGTGGTTCACCCTCATTGGAACTCATTGATACATGTTACAGGATTGGATGTCCGGTTTTCAGTTTTATGGTTCACAGTCATAATCTTATGATTACGAGATCGCTGGTGTGACCCCGTCCCATGGCATTTAGTGACTGAGTTGGATTAGAATACGTGGTTCTGTTAGTTATTTGACTACATTGCACTCCACCATTCACGAGTAGTTTGTAGGTAGTAAGGATGTTTCGAAGTTTCAGACCATACTTCCATCCTCAAAATGGATTCTGTCTGTGTCGAAAGTCGTAATGCACCAAACGGTTGTTTACTCCTTTTGAGAGTCATCAGCAGTGCGTATTTCACAAATAATTGTGAAAATCGAACCTGTGACCTTAAGGTTGCTAGTCCGAACATCACTCTTTGACCGTGAATGGCTGATCATAAGTCAACGGCAGACAACCGCACATGAATTGTGTGCATGGAGGATAATGGTGTAGCTCCCCGGCTAAGTACAAATTTATTACACTATGGATTTGCTGCCAGCGGTCCAATTGTAGAGCCGTCCGATTTCTGCGGGTCGCGCATTCCGATCTGCTCAGAAATTCTTGAGGTTCGCACTGGTATGATCCCTACCGAGAATGAAAAGGCTGAAATAACATGGGCTAGTTCAGGTTTAACAACCCCATCGTATGCAAATATTTGATTTCAGCTACACAGTGTTTTTGAATTTTGGTTGACAATTTGAATTCAGCGTCGATGATGGATCCTGGTATATTCATTCTAGGAGATGCAACTGAGTTTATTATGGAATACTTCGTAATGACGGCGACACTGTTAGAAACAAAAGCGTGACTATTTAAAAATTGGTTGGCCACCAATGTATTCAATGCTATGTAACAGCTTCAATAATGTACCAGGATTTCCTACACGTCTTTTTGAATCTTGGGCATTTTATTAGTGGATATGCGTATTCTTTCAGTGCTTAGTGGAACCGACTGAAGGGATCTCTTTGTCGCGGTGCATTAAAACCCAACTGTTCATACTCACTCTGCGGGTTGATATTTATGTGAATTTCGGATATTTATGCACAGTTCAAAACAGAAAGCATCAAGCAGGTTGTCCACGGACCTTCTGATGTGGCATTCTTAGCCCTGCGACACTTAAAGTATAGGGCTGTACCACATCTGTTCTTATTCCCAGATCTCCATTCTACTCTCCAAGTGACGTCAGTCTTTGATGAAAATATGAGGGCCATGATAACTGTTTTATCCATGTTGAACTGGATGGATCATAATAAACACCCGAGCCCGCAAACTTCTCGGTGGGCATTTGAAGTACTTTTGCAATCCAAACTATATTCCGTTCGTTTCAGCGGGACAAAACCGCTAAAATTGACTAGTACAGAGCGCGAATTTGCTGACCGGAAGGTCCGTGGTTCGAACCCGACCTCTGCCTCTTGACTTCCCCTGTCTAGGTTTGGGCGATCTGACAATATCCCAGCCCTCGTGCCTCATTCGTGTTGCATGGCAGTTAGGCACCGAAAGGGTGCTACAGCTGAACGATTTTTTTATTTCACTGAACCATAAGTGAAATTTAGTTGGATGACTTACTACAGGTCAGGAAAATCTACCCCAAATCGAACTTAAAGCTGAACTCCATTAGATGGCAAGCCAACTTCGTGAAAAAGAGTATCCTGGCAGATTCATTTCAAATCGTTTCGTTACTGTAAGTAAAATAATCAAACAGGCTGTTGTATAAAGGAAGCCCATTGGTATCAGTCGTCCTTTCAAAAGTAAACAATCCACAGGCCATGTGACTCAACATGTTTATCACACACTTCGGCAAACCTTCCGCTCTCCATCATGTAGGCGCAGTCCCCGATCCGAGTTCCCCTCAACTCTGTATTCTACCCCAACCTTAATTACACTAACTTGTGAACCAAGTTGGTAACGATGGGAGATTCATCTGAATCCAAGCTAAATACCTCGCTTAGGGTATTCTTTAACTGAATGTGCTTCACAAACCTCGTACTATATTTCAGTTTCTAGGATACCCGAGATATCACAGTATAGTTTTCCCAACCAACACTACCCTAAGATTGCTCAAAATTCTTCCACAGTTCACTACCCAGTTCACCCTTTCTGGACTAATCACTTACGTACAGTTCCCCTCAACTCAGTGTCCTGCTTCAACCCTATTTCAACGAAACTCACGAACTACACTTAATTGCTAGTGTTTGACGCAGGTTTTCGACGTTCTGTTTTGTCCGACGTTTATCAACACCAATTCAGGCGTTTGTTCAGGTTCATTGTAATCCCTCCTACTGATTCTTGGTTTGATCGATAACCCACATTTATATGGACGGTCAGAAATGCCACATCTCTGTCTTCCTAAATCGAGAACCCAACATTACTGGTCTTAGAGATTCGTCTTTTGAATGGCACTTACGCTTATCTCGATACCCAGTACTTTTACTGCTCATCTGTTTTACTAGCAACCAGTGTATTTCTTATGTTGACAAACATTTGCCCCATTATCACTTTTTCCTGTGCAAAATAGTGTCATAAACTTTGTAAACTTTATTTGTTCTTCAAGCTGTCTCCCGATCGCTAGACCTCATCTGTGTGTTCCGTTTCAGGAGTGACAGCTCGATCAATTTCTTCATATTCTTCATCGTCTTTGGGGCCCAGATACTGGTGTTGATTATTCAGTCTCTTGGAATTTTAAATTGGGGATCTTGGTAAGCTTCATAAGTCACCTGAATGCATCATCTATCCACTTTTCTCGGTTATGCTTTATTTTTCCTAATTAATTAATTTTTAGTGAGATAAAGTGGGTCTTGTGTACCGCTATATCACCCTTTCAGTCCATCTACAGCATCTGTCCGAATTTATTGAAATGGTACATTTGAATAACTCAAAAGCGCTACTCCCGCCCGTCTCTCCCTTATTATGGTGAAAATCGCCTTACTGTCTATTGTTTCCTCACTGCGATCGTCCTTGCCTATTGTGCCAAAGACTTAAGATTTTCTTTTTGCATGACATCTTTTTGCCAAATTTCCAACGTCCCCCTTCTTTCTCTTTCACGTTCCTCCCCCTACCCCCGACCCACCTCATTAATAACTCTCCCTTTGTAGGCCCAGCACTTAGGACTTATGACTCCATCTTGCACTGGTTTTGCGTGCAACATCTGTCCGTCACATAGTGTCGACATTCTCATGTATCTCGAAATCAATCTTCAAACCTATCTTCAAGTCTGTATGGCCGTCTTTAATGTCCGCACTCTGAACCAAGCTGGACAACAAGCTGCTCTTGCTTTCACATTGCACTCGCTTGACATTGATGTATGTTGTGTCGCAGAAACAAGAATTAACGGTGCAAGCACAGCGTTAAACTAACCACCCCATCACTCTCCATTAGCTTCCGGCTACGTACCTCGGGTGATCCAGAGGCTGCTGCGGCAGAATGTGCAAAGGCTGGTGTCGCCCTAAGTCACTGAACGGAGGGATCCTTGCCTGACTAGATACCTGTTGATGGTCGCCTATGTGAGGTTCGCCTGGCAACGTCCATGAAGGAGCCCCACAAGTGGGAGGCTGGTCGCTGTCTGGTGTGTCTGCTTACACCCCAACCTACTGCAGCTGCGACATCATCAAACATTTGTTTTACGACGCCGTGAATGCCATGATGCGGTGATCTAAAAGCTCAAGAATCTTCGTGGTTTCCGGAGATCTGAATGCAAAAGTCAGCAAGTTAGGCGCGTTAGAGACTCAACAAGGTTGTCGACATGGTTTAGACTCGATAGATACGCACAAGGGCGAACGACAGTTTCAGCTACGTGCTTACCGCAAGCTGTTTTTATGCAGTGCTAACTTCCGAAATAGCCGAATTCACCTGACCACATGGTGTCCTCCAACGGCGTACCGACTGCGGACTCAAATTGATCACATTGCAATCGGTTACCGATGGCGCGCATCAATAACTGACTATCACTCGTTTTGGGACACGTTTGTGGACTCCGACTAGGCACTCGTTTAGATTCGCTTCTTCTTTCGTAAGGTGCGGACAAACAGCGTAGCAGAGTAGACTCTCAGATTCGGATTTTAGGTGAATCTGCTGGAATAGTCTTTCTGACTCTCTTCCGAGTGCTGAACCTTCAGATGTGAATTCATACTGTGGCGAGGTCGCCATCACGTTGCACAGTGTGGGAGTTTTGGATTTGATAAAGAGCTGCCAGGCCCACTGGATATCAGACCGAACGGTGGCACTTAAATCTCGGAGAGATAGCCCAGCCACTCCGGAACGTAACTGGATGCGTCGAATTATCAGACGTCAAGTAAAAGTGAGTGTTCGCGCCGGCTGTGAAGTCTGGTGGATTCCGAAAGCTGAGGAAATGGAAGAGGCCCAGAAAGCCGGGAATGTCCGGAGATTATTTCAGACCATATGTGCCACCGGTCCCGGAAGTCACCTGTGAGCGAAACCATCGAGGATCATAATGTAGCAGCCATCTTGAGTAAAGAACTCCTTTGACCGGTTATCGTGGCCATCATTTGCCACTCATCTGGAGCCTACAGCTGACTTAGAACCCTGGGCGGTGAACATGGAAACTCCTACGTCCTCGGAGAGTTAGGACTGCATATATTCTCTCAGGCGTAACCGAGATGCCCCGGATGACCTCCCACCTGCATTGTCCAATCCTGGGGGTAGTGATCTAAGTCAGTGCTTATCCAACCTTTTCTCCTGCATTTCAGAATGGGTGACCGTACCAGACAACCGGTAGAGCTCGGTAATAGTGCCATTTTAAAAAAGGGCGTTCGTATTCAGTGGGGCACTAGCTTAACCCCGCTTGTAACGGGACTGTTGGCGTCAATTATCCTTCGCTGCCCTGTAGTGGCTCGTGGCAAACTAATTCGAGGTCAGCGAGCTGGATTCCTACCTGGTACGGGTTGCCTTGACCGAATCTTCACACTCCGTCAGGTGCTAGAACAACGTCATACGTACAAACGACCCACAATTCGAGTGTTCTTGGATCTCCAAGGTCCATTCGACTCGGTCGACCCGTCTGTTCTCCTTGACACACTTGGCTATTATAGAATGCTTCGGAAATTTGTAAACACAATAAGTTCTTCGTATTCTCCGACTTTGGGGCAGGTGATACCATACCGATAGCTCTCGAAAGACTTCTGTACTCAGCGCGATGTCCATCAGGGGTGCTCACACTCTCCATTCCTATTTAATTTTATGGTCGGTGAGATAAGGAGACGAGTGGTGGATGATCGTCGAAACCCCAGCTGACACTAAGCTTTATAATCTGGAATATTCGAACAACATCGTTCTCGTCTTCGAAGAGAAGGTGTAGGTGTTCTTGGAGGGACCGACCAAAGTCATCCCATCTTTAGTTTATACTTTTCACTCAAATTGTAGAGTCATGCTCCTGGACCATGCAGTCACTAAACGCGCCACTTACAATCCAGGGAGAGACACTGGAAATTGTGGAGCGTTTTACATATATAGGAAATTGTATTATTTCTGATTGTAGTGTGATAGATGAGGGTCGCTTTTGATACTTTGAGACACCCGTGGCGTCAAAGTGGTGTATCCCTGAATCTCAAAGGACGTGTGTATCAAGCTACGGTGCGGGCTGTTTTGGTGTATGGCTGTAAGACTTGGCCTGTTTGAGCAGCTGAACTGAGACGTTTTCAGGTGTTTGACAATTGTTGTCTCAGAACCATAGCTCGTGTGGGTTGGTGTAGGCCTATCCGTAACGAGGCAGTTGGAAAGCGAGTTTTCGGTTGTGCAACTTTGACTTCCATTGAAGAATGTGTCCAGCATCAGAACCTGTGTTGGCTAAGCCATGTATTGCGTGTGCCGAACCATTGCTTGCCAAAGCGAGTGCTGTTTTTCATACCCGATTCAGTGTACCTGAAGCAGAGGTGGCCAACGCTTGACCTGGCAGACGGGTATGAAAGATATTACGAAAAGGTAGCTGATTGGAGACGCTGCAAAGTATGGCTGCTAATCGATAACACTGGCGTTCTTGTTGTTACTCTCTATCCAGATTGGCTGAATGAGTGTCTGGAGGTGTAAGCACCCCGGAATCATTTTACTAAGCTCGCGCTGACTTCCATCCCCGTCCACTGTTAGTCTTAGGTCACAAAAAGGCTTTTAGTTAAATCATGGTTGTACAGCAGCCAAGCATCATTGTGGAACACTGATGTCATGATGATGATGATGATGATGATGATGATGATGATATGTGGGCACTTGTCTGTTGTGCATTTTGCCGGCCTTACTGACAACAACATGATACAGCGTCTCCGAGCAAGCACATCCTTGAACGCAGCTATAATATGTACTTACGTAACGGCGGCAGGTGTCCGTGATCAGGCAAGCCGCGTGCGTCTCGGGTAGAGCTTCATCCGCGGTGGTCGGCAACAGTGTGGCACATATTCCGACCTATTCCTGTGAAGAACACAGCAGGCTACTTGTGAAGTCATTCTACTACCCGTTTCGCCCTTGGGGCTGATCAGCTTGGCGTAGTGTCATAGTTTCCAGCAAACTTTTGTCCTACGTGATCACCACTTTGTACGCAACTAACGAAGTTGATGTTAAATTGCTGTCGAGCATCTTCGACTCGTTACGTCCAGCTCCCGCAGCCGTGCATTGGTACAGGGCGAATAGCAGCTTTCTAGGCTCTGGCTCTGGGTCGTATTCTCCAATTGAAAGAAAACTTCCTTACATTGTTGATCCAGCTTTTTACTTCATATTTTGCCTAGCCATCAGGTAGAATGAGGATTTGAGGTGGTCCAAGGGTTTAACCGTTTTAACTGCAGCATCCTCCAACATGGATGGTGTTGCCGTTTACGTCGGACTTACTCTTTGGTTTCGCAATGGTAATCTTCAAACCAACCATACCAGTGTGGTGATTTATACGGCCAGGTACATACCTTTGACTCAAGGCTTCCGCTGAGTAGCATAATATCCTCAGTGCAGTCCAGTCTAGCTGTCCAAAGGTAATAGCTCCGTTGAACTCCGTGATTATCCCTAATGAGTTGTTCCATTATCAAGTCAATCTCGTGATTGAAATGCCTGAGAACGGATGTGCCTCTTTCACACTGGTGCATAGAACGAAGTCGCTGGATTCAGGACTTTTGTGGCTGAGTAATATGATCTGCTGTGGCAATCTATCTTTCAGCATTATGCTCCCCAATTCCTCGCGAGCCAGGAATTACGCAAAAATCGATAAAACGCGCTGACGGTGGTTGCTTTGACCCCAAACCATGTTCCGGACTTCACCATAGACTAAGCAGCTGATCAGCCTATCCCCTACATGGACGGAGTCTTCCTTGCTGAGGGTGAGTGCTTGCATCAGCTGATGATTTAGCCGCAATACCTGAAATTCCGAGTCGACAATCATACAGAGTCACAGACACTGTAGTGCATGGTCCAGCTACTTCATCACTGGTATCTCTGCATCAGAGCTATCGCTTCTAATACCTTTACTGTGTGGTGACCCTAGTCCATATGGTTGGTCAACGGAGAACCTGCGCCTGGAACCGATGCACTCCGTTATAGCGATGTACACGGTTTACGGTCACAGCACTAAACCGCACTGCGCTGCATCCCACTTAGACGCTTGGCTTGGGTATATGGAACACAATTCCGAGAGGATCACGCAGAATTTTGGTTCATTATGAAATATCTATGTCAAGTGTTTGAACAGTCTACTCCGCACATAGACTGGTCCTTTGCATATATGTTGACAAGGAAGTGTACCGTTGCTAATTCGCACACCTTCCTGATACTTGTCGCGGCGTTGTAGTTCCCTGCGTTTCATCAGAACTATCCTCTCTTGTTTACTTACGTCCTCGATGCGGTCCTTCAGTTCAACTTCAAGAGGCCGCGCATCATTGTGTCGAAGATGAACCAGAACTTTTGTCATTTCACGGTCATCAGTCCGAATGGAATATAGACAGTGGTCCCTTTTCCATCATGCTTTTTGCGCCATCAATACGCAATCTTACATAAATCGGTTTTCTGTTTTTGTTAGTAAGCCTTTGAATCCTCAAGGCTAGAAACTTGAGTTTGTTGGTCAGTTCACATATCCTGGCCAATGTGTATGCCATATGGACATCGTTGTTCCAATGGAAACCCACATATGGGCTTCATTATCAATCGTTTTGATTGTTCTACCTTCCACCCTGTTCCTGTAGTCTAGGTTATGCTTCCCTAAAAAAACATCTGGATTATTCGGTATATATATAT